ATCCCAGGACTCCAGGATCATGACCTGAGCCGAAGGCAGACGCTTAACCATCTGAGCCACCCAGGTGCCCAGAATCATGTTGTTTCTGATGCAAGCCCACGCTGGTTGCTATAGTTCCCCAGTGCACCTGTCCCCCGGGTGCTTAGGGGGTCTGGCATCAAAACACCCTGCATGGTGGCACTCGGGCATTCCTAATCCAAGAGCACACTAACCAGCGGCACCCCCCAATTTTCTTATTTTCCTATGTGTTCTTGGAAGCACTCTTTTTCCTTTTCCTCTCCTGGCCAGCTTTGCAGAGTTGATGGAGAACAAGAGACGGGGAGGTGAAGTAGAAAATCACAGTTGGGTCTAAAATAACATGTGATCTAGAAAAAGTTTGCTTTGGAGAGATATGCTCTCTGGGAATCTGAGCGCTCATAAGCAGGAACGATGTTGTTAGATTTTAAATTTAGCTTTCCACTCTCCTAAGGAAATGCCTGTCCTCCTCAATCACTGAAGACGTGCAGTTTAGTTTTAATTATATCAAACTAAAGCTACATATTGCTGTCCATGAGGAAGCTGTCAGCACAAATTTGCAGGTTTGTTAAGGGAATTGCTTCTTGCAGCTGAGAGAAGCATGGTGTGGCAATGGAAAGCAAGTTAACAGATGGAAAACTTAAATTCTTATCTGGCTTGATGTTTCTGGAAATGTTTTGTTTGTGCAAAATATAGGTATGAGAATACAGGTCAGCACTACTAGTGCTAACTGTCCCCTCTGTTCCCATGAAATGCTCCCGGTCGTGGCTCTCACACTGAGGTCACGAATGTCCTGGAAGGTTGAAACCTGAAACACCACTGTTCAGCGGCAGAATGGCTCTCTGTGGGAGTGTTGCCCCAGAGACTGTGAAATGTAGTTTAAGGATCACTCCAGAAAAACTAGCTCTCAGAAGTGCTCAACACTCTGTGTCTTAATGGAGATTTCCCTAAATTGGAGTGATCTTCAAATTTTGAGTTAAGAAAATTCATTAATGTTTCAAGCCTGCTGTGGTAGTGGTATTTTTACGTGATTAAAAGGGACAAAAGCTTTTATTTATTTATTTATTTTACTTCGGGGCAAGGTTTTATTTTTTTTCAAGGGCCTGTCTTTTGTCTAGGCTGAGATCTCTATTACTATGATACGGACACATAACAAATGATGGGAGAAGTGGAAGTGGGCAGAGCATCCGTGTTGCCATGGAGACGATTATTTGGTTGGTAGTAGCCAGCTCCAAAGTGAAATAGGACCCAGGCAGTGGGTTCCCTGGGATGTTAGAGATGGTGCACTTCCTTCCCTTAATGACCAGTCTCTGGATCTGGGGGTGGGAGTCTGAACACCACCCACCCACCAAATATGCAGATCTGTACGCTGTCACGAGGAACTATATTAAATCAATCACAGAATGGTGGATTACTTTATCTCCCCGTTTTACAGAAGTCCACCAAATTATTCAGGCATGACAAAAATGGAGTTCTTATTTGTAAAAACATCTCCATTGTCCCTCTGCTTCGTTGGCCATAGCACCTTCCTCATTTCTAGCATCCTAACTAGACGAGAGCAGTGAGAGGGGATAAGAGTGACCAAGGTCATTCCTGGAGCATCAGGTTCTAATCCTGCTTTCCCATTATCATGATTCAATTTCCTCCACACAAATAAAGCCAAATGCTTCATTGCTTCCTGGGAAGCTGCGCCCCATAATCACTGTTATGACTAATAGCCAGGTGATTTCTTGGATATCTGGGTACCAACCTGACCAAGCAGATAATGGAGGAGCCAATCCTTCAAGATTCCAATCCTTCAGGTGGGACCGTGTCCTCAGTCAGGTCTTGAAATTGTGTGAGGTGTCATGTCATAAATGACAGTGCTCACACTGCAGTGCAGTAAGACCTCATTTTAAGGCACCCCAATACTCACAGAATTAACTTTTCTGAGTCACATAATGAGTCATGATACACTGATACATGATCCCTATTCCTTTTGATAACATTAGGAAGCCGTTTGTAGACCTTACCCTTATTTCCAGACCCCAGAGTGATTTCTACCTGCCTTCTATTTTTAGGATGTTCAAAGACACTTCCACGCAGTATAATATAGTAGAGTCTGGTCTGTGAGCTGATTTTAATCCTAGAATCTTTGCTTATATGTGGGTTACCTTTGGCAAGTCGCACTTGCATTGAACTTATTGTGGAATAGATCAAATGAAATGTCCCGTAAAGACACGCCAACAATAAAGTCAGGGAGAGGGTTTCTCTGTTGGTGGACAGAGCTCTTGCCATTTTAAGTGGCTGAGGTCTGTTGAAACTTATTCCCACGAAGTTTGCCTTCAATACATCTAATGCCAGACAACATTGGAGCCACAGAGAGTTTTCCTTGTGAGCTTTAAATCAAAAGCATCATAGCTTTGGGGCGCCTGGGTGGCTCAGTCGGTTAAGCGTCTGCCTTCTGCTCAGGTCATGGTCCCAGGGTCCTGGGTTCGAGCCCCGCATCAGGCTCCTTGCTCCACGGGGAAGCCTGCTTCTCCTGCCCGCCGCTCCCCCTGCTTATGCACGCTCTCTCTCTCTCTGTGTCAAATAAATAAATTAATTTAAAAAAAAAAAACAACCATAGTTTTACTAGTATTAGGATTTTAAAAGAACTATAAAATCCAATTGCAGAGAGATGGGAAAAAAGCACTGAAGAAAGTAAGTAAGATAATGTGGGTATTCTTAGCAAGGGGCTAAGGTGTTAAGAATGCAGACCTTGAACTCCCTACCCACTCCTGACACCGTGGCTATCCCCACTTGCATACATGAATTTCTGCATTTTTAGTGGCCTGGCCTCCCACACGGCAACTTTTCTTCATTTATATGGCAAGTGCACATCCCTGGAGCCATGGGTAGTCTTTCACTGACCCTTTCAGACATCTAGGAGAAAATTCTGCATTTCTGTGGCTGAGAAGCATTGCTCAGAATTTGTTTTCACCTTGTTTTTCATTACATACTCAACAAATGTATTTCTAGGTGATAGTTCCCAGATTCAGTCTCAGCTAAAATTCTAAGAAAGTTTAAATGAAAAATTCCTTTGGTACATTTGTGTTAGAGCCCAGAGGAAACCAACGTCTTTTTTAATCACACGAAGAAAAGTATCAAGACTCTTCTTTTCGGCAGCAATTTAGAAGCAACTGAGGAAGATGTTTAACCTCCATCATTCAGCTGGGAGTAGAATTGGTGGCAGCATTGTAGATATGGAAGGTTCCTTAGGTTTCATCTAGTCCAACCTGTTCAATGTAGAGCTGAGAAAATTGAGGACTGGGGATGCTCAACACTTGGCAGAGGTCCCCTAGCTGGTTAGCGGAGGTGCTGGGACCAAACCTAGGGCTCCTGAGCTGTGGTTGTAGGTGGTGTCCAGCTGGTTGCACATTCTGAACAGGGAGTCATTTATGAACTAACGTCTGATACTAAAATGCTGTTTATTCTGCACTTCGGAGGAAGCAGGGCAAACCTAATTGGTGTCCTTTGCAATTTCTTGTTTTTTCCTCCCCCTGGGTTCAGTTGATGGTAGTCTGTTTTTGGTTTTGTTTTCACAGGGCACCTAATGGGGAAAAAGAGCACAGGAGAGTCCCCATATGTTTATGAGGGAAGGAGCCTGCTGCAGCAGCTGCAAGAGTACATGCAGTGGGAAGAAGCTGCAAGGAATTTGCTAAGCCTCCTAGAAGCAAAGGGGACCAGAAGCCATCAGTCATCTCCCCCATCTGCTTGGGATTACCAGGATGACAGCAACTTTAAAATCCTAGGTTCAAAACCTAAAGGTATAACGTACCAGGTGGCAGAGGGCGAGTGGGGTGGGGTGGGGGGTGGGGTGTTGGGGGAGAGTTGGAAAGAGGTTAGGTTTGAGCAGAGAAGAATAAAATTGTTTACGGTGCAAGCCTTCAGAACCACTTAATTAAGCTGACACCAATACATGCTGAGAAATGAGTAGACACTTCCTGTGTAATTTCCTTTCAACATAATAGATGATTTTTCCTCTTAACAAATCGAAGGGGTATTGGTTCCAAACTCCAGTTTAGGAGTATAATCAGTGGTCATGCTGATTAGCGATTGTGCATTGATGGGATTTTTTTTAATCCAACAGGCCCTCCCAGAATATTTTGAAAGGGAGGCCAGAGATTATTTGAGTCAATCCCTATGTTTATTTGTTTTAATTTTTATTTAAATTTTAGTTAGTTAACACACAGTGCCATATTGCTTTCAGGAGTAGAACTCAGTAATTCATCACTTACATACAACACCAGCGCTCACAACAAATGCCCTCCTTAATCCCCATCCCCCATCTAGCCCCTCCCCCACCCACCCCCCTCCAGCAACCCTCAGTTTGTTCTCTATCATTAAGAGTCTCTTATGGTTTGTTTCTCTCCTTTTTCCTCCCTTCCCATGTGTTCATCTGTTTTGTTTCTTAAATTCCACATATGAGTGAAATCATATGGTATTTGTCTTTCTCTGACTAATTTATTTCACTTAGCATCATACACTCTAGCTCCATCCACGTTGTTGCAGATGGCAAGATTTCATTCTTTTTGATGGCCGAGTAATATTCCATTGTGTGTATATATCTATATACACCACATCTTCTTCAGCCATTCATCTGTTGATGGACATTTGGGCTCTTTCCATAGTTGGCCATTGTTGATAATGTTGCTATAAACATCGTGGTGCACGTGTCCCTTCAAATCTATATTTTTGTATCCTTTGAGTAAATACCTAGTACTGCAATTGCTGGATTGCAGGGTAGCTCTATTTTTAACTTTTTGAGGAACCTCCATATAGTTTTCTGGAGTGGTTACACCAGTTTGCATTCCCACCAACAATGCAAGAGGGTTCCCCTTTCTCCATATCCTTACCAATACCTGTTGTTTCTTGTGTTGTCAATTTTAGCCATTCCGACAGGTGTGAAGTGATATCTCATCGTGGTTTTGATTTGTGTTTCCCTGATGATGAGTGATGTTGAACATCTTTTCATGTGTCTGTCAGCCATCTGGATGTCTTCTTTGGAAAAGTATCTATTCATGCCTTCTGCCCATTTCTTAAGTGGATTATTTGTTTTTGGGTGTTGAATTTGATAAATTCTTTATAGATTTTGGATACTAGCCCTTTATCAGATATGCCATTTGCAAATATCGTCTCCCATTTGTAGCCTGCCTTTTAGTTGTCTTGATTGTTTCCTTCACTGTGCAGAAGCTTTTTATGTGGATGAAGCCCCAATAGTTCATTTATGCTTTTGTTTCCCTTGCCTCCGGCAACATACTCTACATTTGTTTTTGATGAGTACTAGTGGAAGGGATTATTCACATATGCTTTTAGAAGAGAGCACTCTGGGGACACCTGGATGGCTCAGTTGGTTAAGTGTCTGCCTTCGGTTCGGGTCATGATCCCAGCGTCCTGGGATCAGGCTCCCTGCTCAGCCGGGAGCCCGCTTCTCCCTCTCCCTCTGCTGCTCCCCCTGCTTGTGCTCTCTCTCTCTGTCAAATAAATAAATAAAATCTTTAAAAAAAAAAGAGAGAGATAACACTCTGGTTTGCTACTTTTTATGCAAAAGAGCACTTCTTTATATTTGTTCTGAGATTACCTAGTTTGGGTCTCACACTAGTATTTTGAAATTTGGTGAACATATCTAATCAACTGATCTGCCCTGTCTATGGTCTTGTAGAAGAGAGGGAGAAAGAATTATTCCAAACTGGCACTGCTTAGATACAAAGACAGTAAATGGGATGAAAGAGAGAATAAAATTTGTAGGAGGAAAGCAAGGCAACTGAAAATGAAGTGATTCTCATTAACCTTTAAGAAGTTTCCATGAAATTTGTATAAAAAGCAAAAATAATAATCACAACTCTAGTAATACTAAGGATAGCTACTTCTTTTTTTTTTTTTTTTAAAGATTTTTTTATTTATTTGAGAGAGAGAATGAGAGAGAGAGAGCACATGAGAGGGGGGAGGGTCCGAGGGAGAAGCAGACTCCCTGCTGAGCAGGGAGCCCGATGCGGGACTCGATCCCGGGACTCCAGGATCATGACCTGAGCCGAAGGCAGTTGCTTAACCAACTGAGCCACCCAGGCGCCCCTAAGGATAGCTACTTTTATTGAGTGATTACCATAATCCAAGTCCTGGGCAAAGCAGTTTGCCTCCACTCTATTCATGCTCACAGCAGTCTTAGGAGGAAGATTCAAGAACATTTTACTCCTCTCTCTCACGTAGCTTTTCACTGGTGAGAGCAAGGGCAGGAGCCCACGCGGGCTCCGTGGACATGTGAAGTGTCTGCTGGGCGATGGTGGGTCCTCATGGATCTTAAATATGAAGGATGCAGGATCCAGTAGTGGCCTTACTTCTCACTGTTTCTGACAATAATATTGTGTTTCACTCGCAGAGCTTGGGGAACTGCCGCCTTCACTCCTTCATGGTGATTAACTCTTTGATTGATGGCCCGTTTGCAGAGGTTCAGGGCTGGCTTTCCCAAGCCTCAGCCGGCTTCTCTGGAGGGAGGCTCTATGTTTCACTGCGCTTTGGTCTACTGTGGATTCTCGATGCTAAACACAAATGGAAAGTTCATTTGTTGCATTAAGCACCTAGGGAGAAAATCTCTAGTAGCTTTTATTCAGAAAGAAAATCTGGATTAAACCCACCAATACAGAAATAAGTAGCAACTTCGTACAAAGCCCCGAGTGATTCTCTTGCCCACCCCTGTATTATTGGGGTCAGCTCCCTTCTTTGTGGGTGGATTACAGGGCTCTGAGGGCTCCGGGAATTTGGGATGGACTTCTCAGCCCCTGGCTGAGGTCTTTTCTTTGTCAGGTGACTTGATGGACTTCCTGGGGGTAGATGTCCAAGAGCAGCGCCTTCTCCTTTGTCTGAGGAGTAACGATGATCACCAGCACAAAACCCCCAAAAGCAATTTTACAAACACTGAAATGGACTTACACTCCCAGCTCATTTCCTTTTTGAGTGAAACCCCAATATCCACTTTGAGTTGCTTTATTCTCTCAACCCTTGCTCTGTATAACTTTGGAATGCTTTTGTTTTTTGTTTTTTTTAAATTCAGCTCCTGCGGCGCCTGGGTGGCTCAGTTGGTTAAGCGGCTGACTCTTGATTTTGGCTCAGGTCATGATCTCAGGGTCCTGGGATCGAGCTCCCCATCGAGCTCCCCATCGGGCTCTGTGCTCAGTGGGGATTATGCTTGAGATTCCCTCTCCCTCTGTCTCTCTCTCTCTCAAATAAATAAATAATTTTTTTTTTTTTTTAGTTTTTATTTATTTATTTGAGAGAGAGTGA